CATCATTCCCAGGTTGACAATGTTAAAATTCATTTTAAATAAAGAAGCTATTTTCAAGTATTGTGGGTAATTTGGGTCTTTTACTCAAATATTGTTTAAACAGAATGCTTGTGCTCTTACTCTTCCAAGCTAAATTAATACATTTCACTTTTTACCTTTCTCAGGTCATTGACTCAAAAAAGGTGTTTTCCCATTTACGTTTTACTGAGCTAACAAGTCAATCAAATCATGATTCAGAGATTTGCTTTCTTTAAAAAAGGCCCTAAATTAACTCTTTCCCCGCCAGCATTTAAAAAAAAATATTGTCAGTCAGTGGCAGCATTTTTTATAATTTTCGCAAAACTTTCAAATGGCTAAATAAACAATATCACCAGATTAATCTTACACTGTATCTGTGTTAGTTTTCCCATTTGAACTTTGTGCTTTGAATTGCTGAATGTTATTTCTCTGTGCTGGCAGAGCGAGGAGAAGTATGGAATAAACTCGTCTTTAGAGCACCGCTTTCACACACTGCAGCAGATCTATGAAGAGGCCAATGCTCTGCTGCACATCCACGGATCACTCATCTATGACATGCAAACACAGATTCGCAACCTCACTATGATAGTAGAGCGCGTGAGGCGCAATCCTGGCTGTATGATCAATATCATCCGCACAAGCCCGCTTCTCAGCGCCCAAGATACCCTTCACCCAGGTCAGCAATATAGGTACTGAAGAGCTTACAGGGAAGTAACGTTTTGAGAAAGTCATAGAAAGTTAAAAACTATACCATATTTAAAGTCACTGGCATCTCAGAACTCAGTACTGAAATATTTGGACATTTGTAACAATAGCTTGATTTGATTTAGTATTTGTTTCCTCAGAGGTTCAGCATGTAAGAAACTGTCCGATTGACTGTGCATCACTGTACTACAATGGAGTCCACCGGTCTGGGATTTTTACTGTTGTCCCCTCATTGGGATCGACTCCAGTCGACGTTTATTGTGATATGGAGACTCAAGGTTTGCATTTTTCTAATAAATTATGAGCATTAGAGACTGTTATTTGAGATTAAAGAATCATTCTTTGGACCAGGAGGTGGATGGACCATGTTTCAACGTCGGCAGGATGGAAAGGTCAATTTTAACCGCAAATGGACAGAATACAGGGATGGCTTCGGAGATCTGCATGCAGACTTCTGGCTGGGAAATGACCACATCCATGACATCTCCAGCCAGGGAGAGTATTCCCTTCGCATTGAACTCGAGGACTGGAATGGCAAGCACAAACACGCACTGTACCAGAACTTCTGGTAAACATTTGGAAAGATGGTCTGAATATTTCAACTAAGTTGATAAAATTGATTTCAGTTGATAAAATATTTTTAATATATTAAATAGTATTAATAGATTTAAATGAGAAACAAATTACAATTAATAATAATATGGAAGCTTAAAAAATTACATGGCTAATAATAATAGCTATAAATAATAGCTTGTTTCCGCCAAGAAAAAAAAAAAATTATCTTGCAATTGCAAGTTCCAAGAAATTCCGAGTTTTTTCTCAGAACTGCGTTAATTGCGATTTATTATCTCAAAATTTTGACTTTTTTTCTCACTGTTGTGAGTTTATATCTCACAATTCTGACTTTTTTCCCTTGCAAGTTAATATCTCACAATTTAGAGTGTATATATATAGCCTATATAGTATATGTGTATAGCTATTATTCACAATTCTCCCAATTGCGAGTTTATATCTTTCAGGTCGGACTTTATTTCTTGCAATTCAGAGTTTATATCTTGCAATTCTGACCTTTTTTTTCTTTTTCATTTTTGAATTATGAGATGTAATCTCTCAATTTCATAAAAAAATTTACCGCAATTACCGTTTTTATTTTCAATTCTGTGGCGAAAACAAGCTTCCATCTTATAATAATATTAATTAGATTAATGAATTAAATTAATTTTAAAACACAATAGTAATATTACATTATATTAAATATTTAAAAGATCAAATATAAAAAAATCAAATATTAATACTAAATTATGATCATTTGTGCAGGTCTTGCACTTATTTCTACAGATGCTCTGACGATAATATGCATTTCTGTGAACAACTCTAAAATAGCTTTCTTTGGCAGGATTGAGAACGAGGACAACCACTACCGTCTCCATGTATCAGGATTCAGTGGTACAGTCGAGGACTCGTTCGGTTGGTACCATGACAAGCAAAGCTTCAGCACTCCAGACACAGGTGACATCTGTGCCGAGATATCTCACGGAGGCTGGTGGTACCATCAGTGCTTCTTTGCCAACCTCAATGGAGTGTATTATAAGGTCGTATATAAATGAAGGAAAAATGAAATCATTCCAAGATATAAAATATGAGCCCAACCATCTTAACTGTGTCCTGTGTTTGTCTTGACCACCAGGGGGGGCGTTACTCTGCCAAAGGGAAGAATCTTCTGGGGCCTGATGGGATTGTGTGGTACTCATGGAAGGACTCAGATTACTACTCCTTGAAGAAGGTGAGCATGATGATCCGCCCACGGATATACAAGCCCCGCCTCTCTCCATAACACTGCTTTAGGCCTGCGTAAAACAACACTGTTGTGACATCACTGGTTCTCTGTATGTAAACTGTGGTTAAATGGAAAGTCCCAACTGAATATCCAAGATAAAATATCCAAATTTCTCATTCTGTATAATCATGTCTGATAATCTTATAAAACAATATGTATTAGATTATCAATAATTTTTTAACTTGCACAAAACATTTATTTGGATAATCATTCATTAGAAATAATTCAGAGATTAATATAAGATTGGTATACTTTTCATATTTTAATTGGTGTTACTGTACATTTACTTTGTTCGATAGAAATATTCAGAGGAAATCTTTTTAAATACTAGGGCCCAGTTGAAACAAACCCCTCAAGTTAAGAAAACCTTTTTAATTCATCTCGTTTTTGCAATGTAAAAATAAAACAAATTCAATCATCATAATAAAAGAAATAAAAAAACAATCTTAATAATAAAAAAAGATGAAAAAATTATGTTTAGTAATCGTAAGGGTACTCTCGATCAGAATCTTAAGAGGTTTTGTCGCAACCAGCCCCAGAGGTTTATGAGAACATTTGAGAAAGCTCTATTAAGAGATATCCTATCACACATGGTACATGTAAATAAGTTTGCTGTTTAAGCCTCAATAATTCTGTGTAATGTAGAGGTAACAGGTGTTCAAATAATCCCAAAATGTACATCCTTTTAATGCCTAAATGTATATTTCACAACATTGTTTACATTTTATAACTTCTTTGAGAATGTATAAAAATGTGTTAGTTTTGGACAAATGTATTGCTTTATTATACAGCTGACTTTCTGTGTTCTTCAGACTTCTTTGCCATGAGATAAACATATCTGCACCATCCATAAAGACTCTTTCTGCCTATCACACACTAACAGGAAGGGTGGAACAGATCAGCAAATGAACATGGCACTGTATTAAAAGAGGGTTTGAGGGGCATTGCATAATTTGACGAATATTTGCATAGTATTTTGTTCTTACAAAGTCTCAGAAGAGAGACAAAATTAAGAGACACCTTATGGTCAAAAATGAAAAGAAAAATAATGTCAAAATTTATGCCATCCCTTGTTTAAAGGAAGGAAACAGATTTGGGAGAGAAAGCGTGGCTTTGTCCGAAATCATATACTCTTGAGTAGGTACTTACTTTGAATACGCAATTACTTTGCGACTGAGAAAAATTATGTTCTAGTATGAATGTAATCTGGATGTAAGTACATTCACCATGTTATCATTATCATGTGACCTACCAGTGTCAGTTACGTCACTTCACTGCCATTCACAGCTCCTCTCCGTGGCCTCATGCGATAGTAAAGTGTCCATTGTATGCATACTTCAGCATCTCGCTGGAAGTAGTAGGTCATCCGGGTACTTTTTGACTACTCCATAATGAATGCAGTGAATTTGGACATACTGTACTCATATTTTCACATACTCATTTTCACCCGCTATATAGTCGGGAAGTGTGCAATTTTAGATGCAGCCAGTGTTTCCTTGCACACGAGGTCACTTATAATTGAAATTCAAACACGCTTTGGTCATCATGCTCATTTCCTCTTTTTCCTTTCTAAGGTCAATAATTAGTTTCCTCTTTAGAAGAGGAAAAAACTGACTCTGAGCGAGCATAAATACTGGATCCACTATCTTTTCCAAAATGATATTGTTGTGCTCTTGCTTGAACAAAAATAAATAAATTTTGATACTAGGACAAAAATGCAGAGCAATGCCGACCATCACAACTCTCCTCGCAGACTCGGAAAGGTATAAAGAAAGATTTATTACACACTATAGGGCTAGTTAAAAACACATTTTATTCACCGAGTGTGATATAGAGACATTTTAGTTTTGTTTTGCATAGAACATTTTACCACAGGTAAAAGACAATGTCCTTATTGCTATTATCCAATACATGCCACTTTTAAATCTCTGACATATTTAATTTCACATACTACAAGAAAACAATATAATGCCAGACAATTTCATTAAGACGTTAATAAACCCCATTTTGGTTTAGAAGGCCCAGTCTGAGCGTATGCATCCCTGAGAGACCTCATTTTACACAGAGAAAATTAAAAAATTTAATGTTAGGGAGTGTTACATTAGCTTACGTGACAGTTAAGATTTGAATTTCTCTTGTTCTTATGGACAAAATATTTGGTTAATGAATAACATTATATGATGTGCATTGTTTGTTCCCTTATAACCTATTTTTTTTCTGTCACAAAGCAGTAATGCACAATTGATTTTGTTAGGTGGAAACATTCTGAGCCCATAAAGGGACATGGTGATGGAAAAAATATGCAAGAAACACTGCATTTGCTTGCAAAAGATTTACATTCCCCCGAGAAACTTTGCGTTGGCTCGCAAAACAACTCAAAAGTTCTCAGTTTCGCAAAGTTTCTCGGGGAACGCAAAACGTTTGCGAGAGAACGCAAAAGCAATGACATAATTCTTCCTCCTATCTCATATTTTTTTCATTCACGCGTCCCTTTAGGGGCTCCGTAAAAACATGGTTAATTGTGAACTAGCATGAAAAAAGCAAAAGCAGCATCTTCTCTTGATGTTCCACAGTTTGATGAGTATTTCTGTTTATAGAGTGTGTCCTCACATGGTGGTATACTGACCGAGCGCTTTCTTCAGCTTTTCAGCAATCTATCCAATGAGAAAAGAGCAGAACGTTACATATATAATATACTGCATTACATTCATCGTGTATATGGTGTCCATACAAACTAGAATCCCGCCTCCACTCACCGTTTCATAGAATTTCACCTGTTCCTCCAGGTAGAATTGCATGAGTCTGTTGTAGTCATAGATACGGTTGCTATGGAAGTGATTCATCTCCGCTAAAGACACAGATGGCAAGTCTAAGATTACATATGTGACTAACACTACAATTACGGACACAGGTTCACATATAAAGGACCACTGTGACAAAAGGTCTAGATAGACAACACTTTACTAACGTACCTTGCAATGCATAAGACATGGTGCTGAGATTCTTTTCCATTGTTTGTTTATCTTGTTGGCTGATTTTATTCATTGCCACCAAATGATCAGCCTCTTTCACTTTATCAATGGCAGCCTGAGGGGGAATAATTGAAATACTAATTTAAATAACATAAGCAGTGACCACTATTAAAGATACTTCAGCTGTGAATTATTTATACTATTTTCCATTACAAATTATATTCTCAACATAACAATTTGAAAGAAAAGACGCACTGAAAAACAAATGATGATAAATTAATAATTGAAATATAATTAATTAATGATAAATTAATAAATCCGGAAAATATATATTTTTAAATAAAAAAATAATTTGTCATTTTAAAAAGTCTTTACTCTCTTAATAATCATTAAACTTAGTTTATTTCCAGATGTAAAAGATCAATGCTTCTTAAACCCAAATGTACATTATCTTAAACATTTTATGACATTATTGAACACAGATTTATAAATTCAGAAAATAAAAAAGGCATTTTAGTCATTTTTAGTCACATTTAAATTAAATTACAACATACAAAATATCAATCATGTAAATGAAAAACACCCCACCTAACACAAATGACAAATGAATTCTAAGAATGTTTTGCTATTTCAATTCAGTTATGATCCGAATGTACCCAGACGTTCAAAACGTCCAGGTTTTTATGTTTTAAAAACTTTTTTTTTTTTCTAGGTTAGGCTGTTAAGGGAACATAACATTTTATAATTTTGCAAACTTTATGGGAACGTTACTTATGATGTTCTCTGAACGTTCTGAAACAAGTAGTAACATTTAAAAACATTAGATGAATGTCCAACAAAAACATTTCAGAAAAAAAATTCCATGAATGATGTATAACTAACGTTTTTGTGCTATAACATTTTGACCAGACCAGACAACTTTGAATGAACACTCTATTAATGTTGCCGGAAGAATGTTTGTTCATAACTTGTTCGTTAGCCAAAGTTCTGAGAACGTTCCCTGTTAGCTGGGACTAAAGGTGAAAGGTTTACCTTGTGAACTCCTATTGTGTCAGGGAAGCAGCCCAGTAGTCCCTTGTATTCGTTGTTTGTTTCCAACAGGAAGTGTAGATCTTTTTTTGGCTGATAAACAAATGTTATCATTATTGAATCCGTAAACAATGGCTTAAACTCATGGATAAAACTAAAAACAGAAATCACGGATGTTGTTATCACTGGGTAACCTTGGTTACAATTCAATCAAACTGTGGAAATAGCAGCAGAGGATGTAAGGGAACATGGCTAATGATGAGTGACCGGCACTGGCAGAGGTTCAAGGACTGGAATGTTTTTTAAAGTATTTATATTGAGGAAATGTACTTCTGATACCTGTGCTGCAACCATTTCTGCTATTTCTTCATATGTTTTCCCTGTTGCAGTTAATGCCTCTGTCAGAGTTGATTCCCCTGAAAATAAGGTACAAGAAGAAAACCCCATGATTAGGTAATCATTAAGTATTCATATTTGAACTGTGAACATGATATGAAAGCATTTTAATAAACAAAGCTGTAGTTTCTTACTCTGGTATCCACTGGTGTTGAAAACTGATGACAGGTTCTGAAATGCTTTTCCAATCTGCCGATACTCCTTTTGCAATGCTGTTGGTTTAAAAGCAGAATTTCAGGAGCAGAAAAAGGACAAATCACAAAATAGTAACAGTAATGAAATAATGAACATATCTTTTTTGACAGTATAGTAAATATAGAGAAATACGTGAAACTCACGGCCTGTACATCTCTTCCAGTGAAGATTCCCAACAGCCAGTAGTTCCTTAACACTGTTGTCCATAGATCTACTAAACTGGCTGTACGTTTCAAACTTCTGCTCCCTACAAATCACATCAAGACAAGACCATTGTTTATTAAATAAATAGTTTAAATTATAAGAAATTATAAAATGCGTATAATATAATATATTTGAGGATGGGAAGATTTAATGTCTCTTTATTTTATACAAAAATATTTACTATTTTCATATATTTTGAAATGTAATTAATAGATGGCAAAGCTGAATTTTCAGCGTCACATGATCCTTCCAAAATCATTAATATGCTGATTTGCTGCTCAAAAAACATTTCTTCTTATCAACGTTGAAAACAGTTGTGCTGCTTAATATATTTTTGAAATGTGATAGATTTTTCTTTTCAAGATTCTTTGATGAATAGAAAGTTCAAAACATATTTATTTGAAATAGAACTTTTAAGTCTTTACTGTCACTTTTGATCAATTTAATGCATCCTTGACAAAAGCATCAATTTCTTTCAAGAAGAAAAATCTTAATGAACTCAAAATCTGATTGGTAGTATAGATTTTCTTATCCATTTACAATAATTATAAATCATAATTAATATTATACTTATAGAAATAATAGTTGGTATTTTTATATAATTTAACATTTTGAATCAAATATTAATTGAATACATTTTGTGATATAATTAAAGGGATTAATATTTGATGATTTTTATATAATTCAACATTATAAATTAAATTTTTTATTAATTTTAGGAAAAAAATATTGCCTCACACTTGAGTAGGATCTATCTCTAGCAGTTCTGGATCTATGGTGGAGAAGATTTTCACTCCCACCGTTTCATCTTTCTCTGCTTTCCGCTTCCCTAGTTTCCACTCCTAATAGAAACAACAAATAAAACATGTCTTACAACACTGCAGAACTTACCTATTCACTAGCCAAAGTTAATATATAACACTGTAAAACACTTCTAAAGTATGTGATCTCAATATCAGCAAACACATGGCAATACTCAACAGAAGAGCTCCTTAACTGTTTGTATACATTATTTGACTATGCATGTATATCAGTATACAACTCTATGTCTATTACTTTACAAATATTTAAGCAAATGCACCTTCTCGTCTCTGTAGTTAAGGAAGAGCTGGAAAACTTCACTGTTTGAGATCACCGGATGTCGGCACATGCGGGACATCCATCCCTGCAGGCGTTCCATGCGAACTTTGATAAATTCCTCTTCAAATCGGCCTAAAGAGGAATGGAAGACAGATGCTAGAGAGTCTACCAGCCAAAAACAAGGCCTGCGCAGGCGTGCACACAAGAACCATAACTATATTAGCATCCACACCAATGCACAATATCGTTCTGTTTATTCTAAGTGCACGTCGTCTGCCGCTTTAAATGCTCGAGCTTACTAAAGAAGGATGGATTGAGATTGCCTGTCAATGTTTTTATCGTTACCGTTATAGTTGGTGTATAGTTTTAGAACTATATCTTTATCATTATAGTTATCGTCCTTGGTGTGAATGGGCCTACAGCAAGTGAACAAAATGGAAGATGGTGCAAGAAGCTGGTCTAAAGTGAGCAGAGAGATGTCACCTGTAACTTGTTTGTCAGGCAAACATGGGATGGGTAGAGCACAAGCAAACTTATCCACAAGCCTTTCATATAACCAGTCAAAGTGTTTGTATCTGTGATTGACAGGTCTGTTAGTAGTCTGAAAAAAAGAAAGAATCCAAGACACGTTAGCAAAACAATTACAGAAAGTCAATATTATTCAAGCAGTCCTGAGAGGAGTTTCAAAGAAACTTACATTAGGTGTGACCTGGTATTCAATGTAGCTCTTCAGGCCATACATTTTTGAACCCTTTTTGGGATCAGCCACTACACAATCTAATGGAATTTGTGGATACAGCCATACTGGACCCACCTCACCTGCCTGCAAAATAAAGATTAATCAAATAAACGTGTTAATGTATCCAAACCCAGAGTTGTTTGATTGTTCTGTTATTCAGACTAATCACTCCTCAGGAATGGAATCAAATCACATGACAAATTCAAATGACTTACATAAATTGGCAGTGTGTCATTTCCTTTAGCTATGTGCTTGGTAAGCAGATACAGCTCTGGATTTGGAGTCTTGGAGAACCCTGGAAACCTATGGGAAAAGATGAGATGAGCATTATTATAGTTCATTTTATTAATGAAATATTATTATCGTCAGTTATCAAAACTAAAACGTTACTTGTTGAGTGCTATTTTCATTGTAGAGTGACCCCCGCCTCGCTGCATCGTTCCGCCCTCTTCCGTCTGGGAACCTCCATAACCGCCTGTTGACTTTCCATCATCGGAATCATCGTCCCATTCCTCATCAAACGAATAGACAGAACCTACGGGACACAACAAATCATCATCATATACAATAATAGAATAACAGACTGAAAAACGCTTTAAATGTTCCAGCGCTTAAAATGGATGGATTCTGATTGGCTGTTGGTGTTTTTATCGTTCATCAGCTGGAAAAGATCATTCTGAAAATGATTCCAACAATATCGTTTCTCTGTGCCGTTATTGTTACAGTTGTGGTGAATAAAAAGACTGCATAAAAGTGTAATTATGTTTCACAACGGTATTCATACTGCAACGGAGGGCCAAGAAAAGCTTATTTCAGAACAACTATAACAGGCACAAACAAAGAAAACTGTTGTGATTATTATAAAATACCAATGAACTTCCACATACAATACTTGGCTACCTCAGTTGCATTGAGAGCTTATTTATGGCTTTAACTATGGCATGTTAAAAGATCTTGACATATTAGAGAAAGTTTAAAGTCCTCATAACAAAGCAGATGGTTTTTCAGACCACATGACATAGAGCTGTAGACAGTAAAGCAGCAAAATCATTCATGAGCTGTACCTGTTACAGAATGTAAATGTGCCCAAATAAAAAAACGCTCTCACACAGGAGGAAGTTAAACTTGAGGTACGTTATACAGTTCCGTTCAAAAGTTTGGGGTCAGTAAGATTTTATCTTTTTGATAAAAGTCACTTAAATCTCAACAATTCTGCATATATTTGATCTCAAATACAGTAAATGCATTAATACTGCTGTGCAATATAATTACAGTATAATTTAAAATAACTTTTTTCTATTTTAATATGTTCTATAATGTAATTTATCCCTGTGATGGGAAAGTTGAATTTTCAGTGGCCATTACTCCAGTCTTCAGTGTCACATGACCCTTCAGAAGTTAAACAGTTGTGCTGCGTAACATTTTTTTTTTGGAAACCGTGAAACCTTTTTTTTTCAGGATTCTTCAATGAATAGATATTTCAAAAGCATAGAATTTATCCATCCATTCACCATACAGATTACCCCCTGCAGGGTCATGGGACGGCTGGAGCCTATAATATCATTTATTTTAAAATATATATATATTTAATTATGTAATTATATAAAATGATGGTCAAAATAAATGTATAAATGGTGTTACAATCAGTTCTGATCAATGTAATGCTTCCTTGCTGAATAAAAGTATTAATTTCTTACTGACCCCAAACTTTTGACCAATATTGTAGATAGTTATAGACAGATAATCATAAAGATAAAGATAATGTACTGTAAATGATTTCCTTTTACCATTATTGCCTGCTGGTTCCTGTTCGGTGCAGTTCCAGTTGTCTGCAGGGTTGTTGTTGGACCATGTCGTGGCAGTCCAAGCCTCATTTCCATTAACCCCCTAAATAAAAGACAACATTAAATCATTATTTTAAATCCATGCTGACCCTCAAGACATTTCATTTGGCATTTTGTAGGTTGTGAAGTTGCCTAAAGCTGAAAGTGGATTCTCTCAGCTCCTTCCCACAATCCCCGTCCAATACCTGCGTTTGAATTATCCCTCGGTTGACCCATTTGCATATAAGGTATCTGCTCAAATTACGAATACACAAATGTTTACTAGGAACATCCCTTTTTAGGCTCCATCAACCTCACAACTAGATTTAGATTACAGCGAATCACTCTTCCTGGGTTGGCCATGTAACATTTGAAGCACATCAAAAATGCAGCTGGCTCATATTCAAATTCACACATAATATTTGCTTGTGTATCTCCATTCGCTCCGTAACACCATGTCTGACCAATAACATACAAAACAGGCTGGCCCTGTCACCTACAACCAAAGCACACTCTTAAACATAAAGGTCCTTTATTGGTATTGATGGTTTCATGAAAAACTTAACATTCAAGAAACCTTTCCATTGCACAAAAGTTTCTTTATAGTAGAAAAGAGTTAATCGGATTCTTCAAATATTCTTTACACTCAGAAACACAAAGATTCTTTGCAGAACTACACATATTTTAATATGTAGACACTCAGTATAAGCACATGCTATAGAACAAATAAAAAAATTTTTTTTGAATTACCAGTGTAAAACAACATTAATGAGAACCTAACTTCCATTTTAGAGATTTTACAAACCATGAATCACACAAATGAAAACTTCTTGGACAAATGGCTGATGGTCACAAATGAACCGAATATAAGCTATAAAAATATAGTTCTCTCAAATCTATCCACTAAAAAAAGGCCTGGATGCGCTTTAAGAACTAAAAGGCTAAAGGCTCTTGAGTTTGTCACAGTCCATTAGTCTAAGATTTAATGGCCAATTCCATCAATAGACCTGACCTTGATCCTGCTAAAGACTAACATCCAGCTAAGAAAAACCATTTTTCGTGCTTCCTGGCCTCACCAATTAAGAGCATCTAGACCATTTTCCCTGAGCACAACATTACTGATGTGTTTATTGTTACTAGTACTTTGGTGTTGTGGATCGCTCTAAAGTCATCGAAGGCTGATGGAAACATTAAGTCGTTAGATATGTCTTTTCTCCACTTGTACCATTTGCTCAATTTTCATGAAAGGGTGCTTGTATACTCGAGATACACTTGACAAGCTTCATCCCATGGAGATAAATTCAGTATATGGACATCCAATGTGTAAAATCTACCGCCAGAGCCCCTTGTATATTCATAGTAAATTTCATTTAATCACAAACTGTTCACCCTTAAATTTTGTTTGCTGATCAGTTACTGAAGAACCACACACACACACACACACACACACACACACCCTCTCTATATATCAAATTAAATATTTTTTGGAGCACATGGGAATGGGATTTATATTTATGTGTAAATATAAATAAAATATCATAAAGTTAAAAAAATGTATACAAATATTTAAATATATATATTTATATATATATATAAAATATATTTTCTATTTTTATATTATTAGATTTGAAAATTTTACTTTAAATTTAGATTTTGTAAAAAAAAAAAAAAAAAGTCTTCATATATTTACATTTGTTTACAAGACTAAAATAAAGCATTTAAGGATAAACCTTTAAACCAAAAGGTTAGTAAGATCATAAGGGACTTAAATTTGGTTAAACAAATTTGAACGTATAGTGTATAATTCACTGGTAAAAAGTTAATTGTTAGGCATCGTCTGCATTTTATTCTTGCTACAATTCTGCCAAAACTTTCTCCAGATGGTGAACCTGGTCTAAGATTAATGCAGAGATAGATTTCACTTTTATCTATCTGCAGACTGGCAGGCATGTAAACACTGTTACATACACATTACACACTGACGCAGTGCACAACACAAAGTGAGGACATCTGACAACCTAATAAGACAAAGAGAGACGAGGAAAGACGGGTCCTCATGCTTAATGTCCCGAGCTATACTGCCCTACAAAGCAAAAAGGCAGTAACTGCATTTTTGGTCAAAAATGAGTTATTATCATTTTCATGACATTCAAGGCATCCTTTGTTATGTGACAAAACATCTTATCTCAAATGTGTGTCGTTTTGGAGAAAAATGGTAGTCGTTTGTACAGTAACTGCAAAAAGCCCTAGTGAAACAAAGCAAGAGTACAGTAACATCCATTACTGTATTCTTGTTATGTTTTACCTAACAAAAAATAACTGTGTTGCTGCGCAGTGTAGTTACTGTTGCCATGGTGAACACACAGCTGATTTCGCGGCATCCTCACGGGACGGTTTTAACATTCGCGATTTCACGCTTCTAACTTCCACAAATTTTGTTTGAGATGCAGTGTTTCCCCTAATTGTTCCCCTACCAAACTAACACACACACACACACACACACGCGCGCGCTGAAGCACGTGTGTGACGCTCGAGCTGTTTTTTTGCCTATATGAGGACACGGTCTTCACGGCAACCCGTCAAAATAAAAGTTCGGTTTAACTTGACAAGAAATAATATTACTGCTGTACAGTAGAATTTAGAAACGTCTCAATGTAATAATAATACTAACACTACAAATAAATTAAGATTAAAACTTAAATTTTAAAGGAATAATCACAATTTTTCTTCAATGTAATTTTAACAGTAAAGCTCATTGTGCAGCATGTTGTTTGACCAAAAATGTTTGTTTTTAAAATATTGTTTAAGTTTAATAATAGTTTATAATGAAAGTTTCATGATTTCAATTAATTAGACATGATTTTTGATTACTAAAAATGTACACCCCATATCCGTAACACGCCCGCTCCGCAACACTAGTTTCGCAACACAAAATTTTTGAAAATGTTGTCCAAATGGTTCAAATTATTTCAAACACAGTGTATCAGACTCAGAGCCCAAGTTGTGGCAAAAAAGTTTTTGGAGAATCTGTAGTTACTGCCTTTTCCCTTGGTATGGTGCCACGTTTTTGGTAAGTAATACAAAGCAAGAATACAGTAACTGCAAAATAGGGGTAAAATATCAAATTAAATATGAGGATTGATATGTACAAAGAATAAGCTAATATAAAGTAACAAAACAGCCACATGTCCAATAATCTACCTACAACTACTTAGGCTGGATGACAGGATAACTTTAAAGTCATTTTTCTCTGTTCTGCACTCTGCGTAGTTACTGCCTTTTTGCTTTGTAGGGCAGTATAATGAGGCCCATTTACTCTCATTCTCCTGCTTCCACAGGAAACGGATTTCAACTGCAGATGACACATAGGGCCTTTGTGCATGTTATTCTCACCAGCACTCTCATTAAATGACTGTGGATTTCTAGTAAAAGGTGGCTGTGAAAATGAGGAAGAAAAACTTCGATTTGAATAGTGGGTTTTGTTAGATGTGGCTACTTATTTTTAGTGAGTGCTGCTTTACATTTAGTTTGAGGAACTGTAATACAACATGCAGATACTGTTACTCATATCGTAGCATTTTAAGCTAGAAATTCATATAGTGCATGCTCACCACAACTTAAGCAATACAGAGGGTTTAGTTGATGTGGTACCTGAGTGTTTGCTGAGCTGTTGTTGTAACCTTGGCTGTGAGCATCAATGTTCTGTGTCGCTGATGCTTGTGTGGAACCATGGTTGATCTGCAAACATTATAATATACTCATGAATATATTCATAACAAAGTAGCCTGATATGTAAAAAAGGGAAATAAGTATATTTATTTTGATTGATTATGCATACATAACTCTCAAATTTCCAGTCAAATTACATTAAATTTGAGGCACGCTGACTGTGTATCTACAGGAAGGCCACACTGGGTGGGAATAAGTATCTTGGTAATTACGGTACAAAGATAGACCTACTGCACAGAACAAGTGGAATATTCTCCATGTGGAGTAGAAGTATGCCAAAAATATAATTAATCCTTTAATCAGTTACATCTTAAATCTTCTAATTAGGCTACAACTCAGGAAACACACATACACTCGTCGATTTACCTCGATTTCAATGATGTGATACTATAGAAGGAAAATGCTAAATAATCGGAATCATTTTCCCAGAAATCTAGACAGCAGAAACAAGTTCGTTTTCATTTTGCACTTCCCCTCTCTTGAGTACTAAAAATGATGTCACACACTTTTCTCATTTTATCTTTTGCTCTGTATAAGAAGAAAAAATAGCTCAAGAATTTTTTTTATTTTTTTTTACCTCAATATAGTCCTCTGGCACCAGGCCTACATTTCCTCTGGAATTCCGAGCCTCTACCCAGCCACCGCCTACATTCTACAAAAAATAAAAATATAAATACATATGTAAACATACAGTATATAAATACAGTAATGTTGTGAAATATTACAACAATTTAAATACTATGTTGGAAACAGATGTGGTTTTAATATTTTTGTGGAAGACATGACAGCATTTTCAGCATTTTTCAACAACGTACAAGACATCAGTTTACGGACATTTCCTTTAATCCTAAAACACAGCACAATGCAAATACAGGGAAAACACCTGTGAAAAAATAATACATTAGTACATTGGGGCTTATTTTTGGTGTACTGATGCCAGCTTTTGAACAGCCATTTATACTGTATATATATATATATATATATATCATGTGTTGGGGAGTAACTAGTTACATGTAACAGGGTTTTGTAATTTAATTACAAAATAAATGTAACTGTAATCCATTATAGTTACTGAGAAAAAAAGTGTAATTAAATTACACTAACTTAAACATATATATTAATGTTTAAGTTAACATATATATATAACATATATAGTATATATATATATATATATATATATATATGAAAAAATGTGAATCTTGAAACATTAGTGCTGATCCTCACCTGGTTAGTGATCGTGAGTATTTCACCTTCTTGAACAGTCAGCTCATTGTTGCCACTCTCAGCGGTGAAGTCATATAATACCTGAGCCTGAACACAAAGCCCACAGCAAACATATGGGTAACACAGAACAGCAACTGCATTAATATTTCAGTGTGGCATGAATAAAACTTTCACTTCTGTGTTTTGATACGGAAAAACATTCCTAAGACTAATAAACTTCAGTTTAATCCTCTATGTAGGCTAAATGTTATATCAAACTATAAAGACAAATATTCAGCAAAACTCTACAGCATCAACTCCAAGAATCATAAACACGTCCATTTTTGATAATGCATCTACACAGTTCCCAAATGAGAATATTATGATGAAACACATTTGTTCACAGCAATGTCACTTATCTTCCAAAAATATCCATCTTAATACACTACCGTTCAAAAGTTTGGGGTTGGTACGATTTTAAATACTTTTAAAAGAATTCTCTTCTGCTAACCATGGCTGCGCTTATTTGATTAAAAATACAACAAAAATCAGTTATAGTATTAAATATTATTCCAGTGTAAATCAGCTGTTTTCTGTGTGAATATATAGTAAAGTGTAATTTATTCCTGTGATCAAAGCTGAATTTTCAGCATCACCAGTGTCAGTGTCTTCAGTGTCAAATGATCCTTCACAAATCAGTATAATATGAGGATTTGATGCTCAAGAAACATTTATTATTATTATCAATGTTGAAACAGTTGTTGGTCTGTCAGTTGTACAGTTTTTTTGTGTTTTTTTAGGATTCTTTGATGAATAGGAAGTTCAAAAGAACAGCATTTGTTTGAAATAGAATCTTTTGTAACATTATAAATGTCTTTACTGTCCTTGATAAATAAAAGTATTGATTTCTTTCCTCCAAAAAATAAAAATAAAATTCTCACTGACCCCAAACTTTTGAACGGTAGTGTATATGCTGGAAGACTTAATACCCTCATTTCTGCCTATGAAGGCTCATCCACATGACCAGTCACCACACAACACAGCCAACATGTAAACCAAAACATTGAAACTGGTTTTCTGGTTTTCACCTCTAACCAAGTTCATCTTTCATATAAGTGTGCCAAGTGTTTATCCATACCAAAAGGATGTGTTCACTTGAATAATAATGCTGACAAATCATTGTACTCTGAATGACATGTTCCCTTAGTTCTGTTCCTGACAGGATGCACCATGTTCCTGTTCACAGCAATAAGGTGGACACAGGCGACACAAAAGGATTGTGCCATAATGATCTAGTGAGCTGCCTACCTAGACAGCATTTTGGGGTGGGTTTCAAGTCAGCTAACCGTTTGTGTACATTTGACTCAGAACTTGCATTTCCACAAATGCTATTTAAGCAACTCATTAGGTTTGAGAGACAGACAATTTCTGCCATTACGTTTCTTTTCTTTTTTTCAAGTTCTGTTTTAAGTAAGTGATGAATTCCCCAACAGATTGTTCAAACCTAGTAATATACATGCACACAATAATTTTCATAATGCAAATACACATTTTTATTTGCTCTGATTAGTTTTAATATATTTAACCAATTTAACGAATGTATTCATTTAATCTACACAATCTGTATGGTTAAATCATGCTTTTTTCAAAATGTTTGATTATTTTGTGTGTTTCACCATTACATGTTTGAAACCAAACAAAATTAACTTGTTACAGTATTGCCAATTTATTTATTACACTATCTAATTGTTTGCAATATACTTTCAAAGTATATTTGTGTGTGTGTGTGTGTGTGTGTGTGTGTGTGTGTGTGTGTGTGTGTGTGTGTGTGTGTGTGTGTGTGTGGATTTACAATGGCAACAGAGAAGAATAGACTGCAAGCAAAAGGAAACAATCAATGACTTTGTGTACAAGAAATGCCAAAGAGGTGGGCATGGGCCCCATTGAAAGGATGGAGACTGATGAATCAAATAAAGTCATGGCCATATTTTTTTACAATGTGATAAACACAGACTAAATTACTCTAACTCACCCTAGTCTGAAAAGATCAACTACAGTATCAATTCAGTCATACTGTAAAACCATTTTGTAAAGAAAACCAGCAAAGTCTGTAGGCTACATTGCAAAAAATGATTTTTCTAAGTTGTAAATAAAACAATTGATTATAGACAAGTAAAACCAATTTGTTTTCTGTGTATACAGCACAGTAGTAAACAATAAATGTCATTGCTCAATGCACCAGTACAAGCACTTGCTTGTTTCAAAAGGCTTACAGTATCATTTATAGTCCCTGTACATGTCACAATAATCTTGTGTTTTGAGTGTGGAAACATATACAACCCTGATGAAAGCAGAAGAGCAGGTTTTGAATGAAATACTAGCTGTGTGATCAGTTTGGAATGTTGTATTGAGAGTTTTGAAAATATATCACATACTTGTGAAAATAGTTCCCAAGCTATTAAAAACAATTTTTTCCCCCTAATATTTCACTATGTTGAAAACTTGAAAAGAAACACCTTCAGCAATTCCTGTTCATCATGACGTAATTAACTTAGCACGTGTTCCCTGACATCCCAGTGTTATTACATGCTCCAAATAAAAAGTTCCAAAAAAGCACACTCTATTGCTTTTGAGATTTATATTCTAGTTTCCTGTGTTCTACTCCTGATACAGCGCATAAATCCAAGTCATTTAACCTAAATATAATTCAAATTTACATTATATTACATAAAATCAATTTACTGTTGGCTGAAACTTTTTGCACCTTTTAAAAATGCTTTTTTATGAACAAAAAACTGCCACACAATTATGTTGTATGTTACATATTTCCAGTATATTAGTATTTCTGATATTACATTGGTAAAGTAACTTTTAGTCCCATTAACTGCTCAGCCTCACACTGATTCAGTCCGAATGTAGGGTAAGTCGGGGTAAGATGCCCCCCGGGACAAGATAACCCCTCCCCCACACATTTTTTTTTTTCTCCTGACCATAGATGACACAAAATCTCATCTCAGCACTATTTTTTTTTTTTAATTTTGTCATTTCATCTGAATATAAACATTTGTGAGATTTAGTCATTCGAAACAGTTTTGAGGTTAATTGATCTAGTGTTGCTATTATGACATATCTTCAATTAAAATATAGGCAATTAAATATGTAAACATTTATACGCCTATAAGTCACAGAATAATTTTAGCTTTCAGATGAATCTCTTTTACTGGGATTCGGCTTTGTCTGACATCAGTTATTCAATTAGGCTATTCAACTAAATTGTCAAAATTCTATTTAAATAGTATAGTGATTTAGTATTTTGCATTAATAACACTTTAATATATATATAAATATTATTAAGAATTATATCAAAAGTCATTTCTGTACAAGTTTAGCCGAGGGGGGCTTCTTACCCCAGGTAGGGGGCTAGCTTATGCCAGTAGTGGGGTAAAATGGCCTCTGATTAATTTGACATTTTGTTACATTACAACTAAATTAGCAAATGTTTCTATTTATTTCCAATAATAACACATTGGCTGATGCATCATCATCCTGCACATGCTAAACCAAATATCTAAATTACAACATCTTCCCCCCACCAGTTCAAACGATTCATTAAAAAGATCCGGCTCAATAGAACAATTCATTCACGAATAGGGTATCTGTTTTAGCAAACAGACACACAGTGCAGTACTTTACAGATAATATGTCTTAAGACCAGCGTGACCACAGGTTTTTCTTGCTACCTAATAAACCCAATTCGTCAAATAAAACTATTTAGGTTATATTGAACATTGTTCGAGTGGTATTTGTGTAAAATGCCGTGTAGGCTAATAAAGTACACCGATGAACTACAACAAGCGACGATGCAACATGAATTATTGCTCGCTGTAACGTTAGTCCAAATGAGAAATACATAATGCGCCATAGTCATTTCATCAATAGTGTTCATCCCAGTGTTATGCCAAAACTTACCTTCACTGCCATCGTGGTATCAACAATTTAATCACCATTAACATGCGATATGAGCTCCTAAAATAAACAAAACGTAGTAAAAACAAACCTTTCTGTCCCTAAATGTAGCGAAAAATACGCGTTTGTTTTTGTGTAATGCAGCAGTGACCGCTCTCGATTAGCAAAACATAGCTCGATAAAATCCAGTTATCTGACCCATATAACGAGATATGGGCGTTGAAAATGTAGAAGTTTCGTCCTCTTTCCCTAACTCAGACCCGGAAAACTTCGGCACATTGGTCTCAAAATGTATGACTTATTGAGCTGTCAGAGCAGCTCGATCTTCCTCCAACTCACACACCGCCCAGTAAGCTCAAGTAAACAACAGAGACATTATGCAATGAAACATTAGATTTCAGCATTTATTCAAATTTTGTAATAAGTACCAGGCATTTTAATTAATATTATTATTATTTAAGCTTTTTATGCAAACGGTTTAATTTGAAATCCTTGTTTTGTAGTAATGAAACCGTGTTTGTGACCGTGCTGAGGCGTGTCAGAGCCCAGAGCAGGTTTGCTGAAGGAACGGCTTCTGTAACAGGACTTCACTGCCACACTGGCACTATGCAGTATGCAGGTAAAGAAGGAATGGCGGTGAGAAAAAAAATAGAAAATAAGCAAGGAACTGCGCCAAATATGTGTACACCCATGGTGAGGTACGATTGCCATCTACTGGTCTTAAAAGGTAAAGTCAAATTTCCAAGCTAGTGTTTTTCATCCAATGCTCTATTTATTCCATTGAGTTCCTTTTGGATTGTTAACCGTATACACACACTACACACATTAATATATTTGTTTGAGTACAGTCAATGTTTGGAATCACTATGTCATTTAGGCTCTATTTTGAAGTAAACAAATACTTTAAATGTTGCCCCTATGAAGAAATAATGTAAGAAATTGATATTTTTTTACAGCCAAAATGCTGTAGACCTATTCTTCTTCATTGCACGGTTGCTCTTAAAACAAACTATTATTCTTTAGCATTTGATAGTGTCTACGATTTCATCATTGATATTGTGTGGATTTGTTGTTTTTTTATGCTGGTTTATTGAGTCTGTACATTAGGACAACACGTGGCATGCAAAGGCATGTCTAAAAAGAAACTGAATTTAATTGAAGAATTTCAGATGATACTGCATGTGCTTATACTTTTTGATGAAGTCGTCACCTAACTTCAGCTTGAATTTTTTTTATGCTAGTTAAGTTCAGTTTGACAATAAAAAGTAAAGCAAAACAAAACAACAAAAATTAGACAAAGCTATTTCTTTTTGACCATTTTTAAAACAAAATTGAACTTTGAAAAGGCCTTTCGAAAATACACTTCGAACTTTAGAAGTGTATTCAGTGCTAGAAAAACATGTATGTCTGTCTGTCTGTCTATCTATCTATCCCCATCCATCCATCCATGTAAAGTTGAGAGCAGCGAGTGTGAGCACATTTGAAAGACTTGAAGTAGGCTAGGTGAATGTGTGTGCATGTAAGCTCATGACACCGATGATTTACTGGAATACAGTCCCACCGGAGCAGAACTCCCTCCGTTGCCTAGGGAGATTCCCAGTTTGGTGAAGGTTATGTGGTCATTTTCAAGGCTTTGTGTGTGTGTCTGAGTGAGGGAGTGGGAGACAGAGGGGTTGGGTGGGTTGGGGGTCAGGATGCCAGCAGCTGCTCAGTACTGATTGTGTTCCACTTTTGTTCACTGTCCTCCACATCAGCCTGAGGAGAGACAGAAGGGAGAACACCCAAACAGAGATGCTCTCTCTCTCTTGTGAGGGAATACTGATGAGTGAGGGGAGATGAGAGTCAATGAGGGATAGATGCAGGTGCTGGAAGATCTTCCAGGACGTCTGGGGTGCTGCTAATTTAATACACCCTTTACGTTCTGTGATCTTTATTTGTTCCTCTCTGGGTTAATGTGCATAACTTTGGCCAAAAGAAAAAAGATGATGAAATATCACTCACATTAGCAACTATATTTAACTGTATTGCTTGTTTTTTTTTTTTTTTTACTTCTACACAAAGAATGTACTTGCTTCCAATAAATTTAAGGCTTACATCAAATTAACAGCAGACTTTGTTTTTATTTTCTATCAATTATGGCATCACTCTTGGTTGATGCGTTTTTAAAAATAATATAGATTAAATCCAGTTTTACAGACTGAAAACTGACTGAACACATAATGATTATAGACTGCTTTAACACTGTGCATAAAAAATGAAATTATCAGCTTTCATACCAATAATATACAGTAAGAAGCCGAACTTGTGTGCAGACAGATTAATTAAGGAACGCAAAGGCTTTTGTCTTTTTTTTTTTTGTTATAGTGCCTACATGAGGATCATATTATTGTTTTTTTTACATTTCAAAGTGTGAAAATCCATAATAACAAGAATATAGAATAGTAATCTAAATGATAATGATAAAAAAAGTAAAATACCTATCAAGCCTATATATATGGCTATGCCATGGTTGTAGCATTGTTTCCGTCGCACCAAACAATTTTGTAAAAAAGTCAAGCTAGTGACGTTTTTTCAAAGATAGTGTACTTATTTATAAAGGAGACAAGTGACAGTGAAGAACTTAAAAATATGAGCATGTGCAAATGAATTTAAATATGGAAAATAAAAAGAAATCTAATTATTATAAATATTATTAGTTGTGCTGGTTGTGCCTATTAGGGTACAAAAAAGGTATAGCTTATGAAAATAGCCTTAGCAAGACAAATGAGTTTTATTTATAAATGTTCAAATTGTCATTTCCATCACAGCATGCTATTAAACAATACATCATGAGGTGTGGTGGAAATTACACTGTGGTGGGAATTTTCATGATGTTCAAAAAGAGAGAGAGGGGGGGGGAAATATCCTGATGCATGTCAATAAACTAGTGAGAGAGGGAAAAATGTGTTTAAAGATAGTGTATTTCCCTAAAGTTCACTCAAAGCTACATTATAGAATCATTGTTTAATAATAACAGAATATACAGAATGTTTGTTGTAATGTAATATTTCACTCAGCGAGTGAAAACCATAGACTGTAAAACGAACCTCAGGTGAAAGGAAAATGCATTTACAAGCATAAAACAGTAGAGGTCTCTATAACACAGTCTTTTCAGTCTCTGTGGTTGTAAGCACGAGTTGCGTGTACTATGTATTATTTATGAGGTGTTAATAGCTTACAAAAACAGATGAAGTATGCACTTTAATTTGATTTAATGAACTGCTTCTAGTTTTTAATGTGTCGGTAACTATCTGCATATTGTTGATTAATAAAACATTGAGTGTGTCGCTTAACCTCTGTTATCACAATACATTATCCCAAATAAAGGGTGGACAGTCAGTTTAATAAAGTGTTCTTCAGCTAAAATGGTTTTATATATATTTATATATAACCTGAATGAATCGACTCAGAAATGTTGCTCTTTGATTATTTGCCCCTGCTCCTTTAGGGGTTTTGTATCCTGAAAGGGCTAAGAATAAATCAAGATCTGCACCTGCAAATTACCCCAGCCGTATTAATTATCAATGCTCTCGTGTTGCCAAAGAAAATTCTGTGTTCAGAGGTCATGAATTACTTGGTGAATGGAGTGTGCCAAAAAGTTCATTGTGCTCAGTTTCAGAGCACTTGTGTCAATGGGATATCTTTGAGAGCATCACAGGTGTAGGCTATACTCTTCTTTTAGCGTTGAAAAGGCTAATGCACATCAAATAAATCAACACTCATTTAGATTAGAAAAGATTTTCATTAAATGGTTAATGGATGCAGTTTGCTGGTGCAAAATAGTAGCCTAATGAGGCTGTGGTTTTGGTCCTTTTATCGATCAGTCTAAACATCGCACGTCCAGATAAACCCTATTTTACACTATTCATTCTTTATTCATAGGCCTACTTGAATGTTGCTTACAAACTAAACTCTGACAGACTTTAGTAAAAGATAATGTGTCTATCCGCAACAAACTTCCATATTCTGAGAGGGGGTTCAGCGAAAAATCGGCAGCAGAAAGTACCTGGCACTAAGACAGGTGTGGTGACAAATCAGATCCTCCTCGAAATCGGGTTTCTTTTAGGACCCCAAGCGATCCCATTGGCTCAAATTACTTTTACTCTATTTAGCGCCTGATTACAATTCCTACAACGCCATGTTATGATGGGAAAATGCTGTTTGAACAATGTTATAATGACCATTAAAGGGATAGTTCACTTTGAAATAGCTTAGCTTAGCTTACCTCAAGGGCATCCAAGCTGTAGGTGTCTTTGTTTCCGCAGTAGTTTCAATTTTGATATTTTTAGGTCAAAGCGTTCTTGTCTGTCAGTCATATAATGCAGGTCTATGGTCACCACCTCAAAGAGCATACACAGAGAAGTCCAAATTAAACATGATTTAATGACTCGTAAATGTAAGTACACATTGATGGCCTAAGACACGAAACGAGCGGTTTGTGTGAGAAAACGAACAGTATTTATATCGTTTTTACCTCTTGTAAACACAGCCACGTCCAAGTGATCTGAGGGCGCCGGCGCTTCGGTCTGCGCAAGCGTCAGAAGTGATCTCTCGCGCGTGTACGTCACTCATTGTTTACACAGAGATTTCGGAAGTGTTACCTTTCACTGTGAAGATCTAAACATATTTAGATATACAGGAAATTGCAATGGAAGACGATTTCGATATATCAACGTACACGCGCGAGAGATCACTTCCGGCGCTTGCGCAGACCGAATCGCCCGCGCCCTCAGATCACTTGGACGTGGCTATGTTTACAAGAGGTAAAAACGATATAAATACTGTTTGTTTTCTCACACAAACCGCTCGTTTCGTGTCTTAGGCCATCAATGTGTACTTACATTTACGAGTCATTAAATCATGTTTAATTTGGACTTCTCTGTGCATGCTCTTTGAGGTGGTGACCATAGACCTGCATTATATGAATGACAGACAAGAACGGTTTGACCTAAAAATATCAAAATTGAAACTACTGCGGAAACAAAGACACCTACATCTTGGATGCCCTTGAGGTAAGCTAAAACCAACCAAAAATTAATTTCAAAGTGAACTATCCCTTTTATGTCTGTATTAGTTAGCTTATGTACTAGCATATCAGATTGATATTTAAGTGTTTTTATTTTTATCACTAACATTTAGATGCAGTGCAATGAGACCTGCAATGAGACCTGTTTTCCTGTTTGGTCATGTGACGTTCAGCATAAAGCCTATCAAAACAGACCAGATTTGACACATTATATAGAGTTACCGTTTGCTCTTTTTAGTTTGTTTGCAAGGTAAACCAGACATAAGAAAATAAATAAAATGTATTTTTAAAAGAAATAAAGAATTGTGTCCCAGTCTCTATTACCCTTTAACTTACATGTACATTCAGAATTTTAGTAATCAAATATCACCCAGCTGTATATGTCTAAGTGGTTCTCATTTCGTGGAAATGCCAAGTCCCACAATTACAAAAAAAATTCTACTTGCAGAAAAAAAGCTCTTCAACCCACGTCATATTTAAAAGCAAAGTTTTCATATTGATCAGAAATCTCAATAAACAAACCCCTCCCTTCTTCCATTGAATTCCCTCACAGCTTTTGAATACTGCTTTAATGATGTAGACTAATTATGGTTTCATTTACTTTAGTTTTTGCTTCGTGCGAGATGTTTATTGTGCAGGAACGTAGTTCAGAACATTGATCAGCAATCCTGGTGACTGATCAATACGTTCAGAATAATGCTGGCGCAAATGTAAACTTACACACATATTATTCACAGCCAGTCATACAGAAAGCCTTGCAACTGACAAGTGAGACAATATTGTATACATTTATAAAGTTTTGTTTTGAGGACAAATAACATTTCCCGGTGGATGACAAAAGGGCAGTATTTGTCTGATCTTTAGAGATGCTTTTGTGCATACTTGCACATATATGTGATTTGTGTGTGTGTGTCCATGTTTTATGGCAGCTGTGATCTGTTGTCAAGCCCTATTATTGCAAATCTCCCTCTGCATTGAACCTGTGATGGAGAACCTGATCCAGTAGCACTGTTACACTATCATATTTTTTCATATGAGATATATGAAAAATTTCAGTCAGGATTCAGACCGCATCATAGCACAGAAACTGCGCTAGTTAAAATTACAAATGATTTACTTTTAGCTTCTGACCAAGGCTGTATCTCAATACTAGTTCTACTCGATCTTAGCGCTGCGTTCGACACTATAGATCACAAAATACTCTTGGATCGACTACAAAACTACACTGGTGTTCAGGGACAGGCATTAAGCTGGTTCAGATCGTACTTATCGGACCGTTACCATTTTGTTTGTTTAAATGGGGAAAAATCGAAGATAACGTCAGTAAACTATGGAGTGCCGCAAGGATCGGTGTTAGGCCCTCTGCTATTCTCAATATATATGCTGCCACTTGGTAATATTATAAGAAAACATGGAATTAATTTCCACTGTTATGCTGACGACACTCAATTATATATTTCATCACGACCAGATGAAAACACTAACTCATCAAAATTGACAGAATGTCTTAAAGATATAAAATGCTGGATGACGTGTAATTTCCTGCTATTAAATCCAGATAAAACAGAGGTATTACTTATTGGTCCAAAAAACTACCCACAAAATCTCTTACAATACAACTTTAATTTAGAAGGATGTCCTGTTACCTTATCGACTACAGTAAAAGACCTGGGTGTTATACTAGACCGCAACTTGTCTTTCGAAAATCATATTTCATATGTTACAAGAACTGCCTTTTTCCACCTTAGAAACATTGCTAAATTACGTAACATGCTATCTGTTTCTGATGCAGAAAAGTTAGTTCATGCATTCATGACCTCGAGACTAGATTACTGCAATGCCTTATTAGCTGGTTGTCCTGCATCCTCAATAAACAAGCTACAGTTAGTGCAAAATGCAGCCGCTAGAGTTCTTACTAGGTCAAGAAAATATGATCATATAACACCGATTTTATCATCTCTGCACTGGTTACCTATTAAGTTCCGTATCAATTACAAAGTACTACTACTGACCTATAAAGCCCTAAATGGTTTAGCTCCTGTGTATTTAATGGACCTTCTATCGCCCTACTATCCATCGCGTTCGTTAAGATCACTAAATTCGAGGCTTCTGGTCATTCCTAGGATATCTAAGTCCACTAAAGGAGGGAGGGCGTTCTCACATTTAGCTCCTAAACTCTGGAATAGCCTTCCTGATACTGTTCGTGGCTCAGACTCGCTATCCCAGTTCAAAACTAGATTAAAGACGCATCTCTTTAGCCAAGCATTCACATAATGCTTACCTTCTATTGTTGAATCAGATGGAATGCATTAATATAATGAACAGCAGCTACGCTAATTATTTCCCATCTGCTTTTCTGCTGTTATCTCGGGACGCTAGTCCCGAGGTAAATAGCGTTCGTCAGCTCCAGTTTGTATCCAGACTCTCACGGAGACTTCAGATGCCCCAACACCTGCGATGAGACGACTCGACGCCTGTGAAGAGACGACTCAACGCCGGCGATATGTTATGCCCTAAATTAGTACATGATGACTAACTAACTATATTCTTCTATGTACATTTCTGAAATGCACTTTCTGTAAAGCTGCTTTGAAACAATATGTATTGTGAAAAGCGCTATACAAATAAATTTGAATTGAAAATTTGAATTGAATATTTATTACATTTTATTTTTCAAGCACTCCTAAGCATTTTCTGAGTACACATAAGAATGAAATATATTTAAATGATTTCTCTTTTTCAGTGCAAGAATAATCATTGTGTTTATACTGTTTTGAAGACAGCTGCTCGTCACAGGCCATCACAGATGTGATAACATCCTAAACTATAGTTTTAATTATAAAACTGTAGCTTACTTCTCAGTTCACAGAGCTTCATAAACATAATTCGTCAATGTCTTCATATTATGCAATATGCTGAACATTCTTATGCTGCTGTGCACAGTTAATTTTCTAATGTGTACCAGAAATGTGTGCTAATTATAAATGCCTTGTGTTGCTTATGCATTGTAAATTTTAGAAATACGTGGTGTATTTTAATAAAAATCTCTACACTGCACATCTATGTAGCTTATTGACTCCATTATACAACAGACCAGAGGAGTCCATTAATATATAAAGGCCCTCCCTCGAGGTTGACCTCCTCTTTAATTGGCTAACACATGTAGGCTGTGTTTCATTAATTTGCCTGTGACCTCAGTATTTGGGTATTTGATGCAGAACGTATCATAAATTGACAGGCATCAGAGTCTATTATATCAGTAAAGTACATAGCTCGACATTACTTCATATTTATTGTGGTTCCTGATGTGTAGACATCAGTCCGGTTGAGAATATATGTCAATTTAAAACCCATTTTAAAGCAAAATCATTCTGAAACAGACTATTCCTTTTTAAATAAAAAATAATTCATTTATTTATCTGTATAGATTTCATTTTAGAATTATTTTTAGATGTAGGTTTGCTTTCAGACTCTGTTTTGTGACTGGTTTGTATCTCTGGTTTGCTAAATACATTTTGTAAAATTATTTTTTTCATTTTTTGCTTTATTTAAGAGGTTGAGTCAGCACACTAATTGTAATGAAATGTATTTAATCTTACACTGTAAAAAATTATATGATCAATAAGGTATGACAACATGTGGTTTTACATTGTATTGCAATTTTCCACTTTTTTTATAAGTTATACAAAATGAAACTATTTTTTAAGTCAGTGTAATGTCATTTAAGTTGAAATGACTTAAACATCCAAGTTGATTGTACTTAAAGATTTAAGGCAAAAAAAAAATTATATGTGTATTGGTTAAGTGGCACGGATAACATAACTATATTGTGCCAGCATTTATTTATTATTTTTCTAAACATTAATTTATTGCAGGGCAGAGAAATGAAGGCTGTGTTTGCTATAGAAGCTATTACAAAACATTATGAATATAATTCAAAAGGAAAGACGAGATGATAAGGTAATTATAGCGCGTATCATATTCCTGTCAAATTTAAAATAATCTCAAAGGTTAGATCAGAGTCACTCTCCTAATTGATTCTGAAGCTGACACGTCCTGCATTATTTTAATGAAAGCGAATGAAGGACAATGGCCTGAAAATGATAAATATGCTTTAGGAATCTTTAAACACACAATAAAGCCGATGTCCTTCCAACAAGCTCATTACATGAACCTCAAGCTGTCTAACACTGATCCAAGCTCCCAGTTGTAGGTGAGAAATGACAGAATTGATTATGTATTTGCAGCCACCTGTAGTTGGAGATGAGGCACCTGGCATCAGACTGCTCCCTGCTGTCCTATTGGCTGATGGTGAGACTCCTGCCCAATAGAAGTGGCCTCCCCCTGTCTCGCCCCCAGCTCTGGAGCCGTGCTGCGCAACAGGGGCAGCAGGAGCTGCTTTTTACCCCAGGAGGGGCTCACTCCTGCTGGTCCGCTGGCTCGCTCGGCTCCTGTCCTGCTGACCGGGTGAAAAGGAGCCACTCGCCAGGGACCTGCCCGCCTCAGATTCCTGCACACATTGAATGCCTCTCACACCTGGAGATGTGAATTTGTACTCTGTCTGAACTCTATTATTTGTGCGATATGAGAAGCAGTTGCCATTTTTGATACAGAGACAATCTGAGGTTTTCATGAACACTGTTGTGTGATGTTTAATAATGCAGGCAGCACTTCAGATAACTTGAATCAGGCTGTTGAGGCTTTGCTATTACAGTAAGTACAGTGGAGTTTTATTTATTATTATATTTACAGTACTGTTCAAAAAAAAATTGGTAACACTTTACTTGAAGCCTTTATATACATTATAAAAGTAATTTTAGTTAATTAAAGTATAATGCATTAAAAACATGACAAAAACTATTTCAGATGAAACAAGGAATCTGCGAATATAATGCATTTTAACTTTGGTTACAATTATTTATGAAAAGATATAAAGCATTATGACGTAGGCTAAATTATAAATACCTTTATAATGCATTACATAAATGCTTTGAAGGGTTAATTCACCCTAAAATGAAAATTCTGTCATCATTTACTCACCCTCATGTCTTCGAAACACAAATGATGATATTTGAATCCCTCCGTTGACAGCTACGCAACTACCTTCAAAAGGTTCATAAAGAGATCGTAAAACTAATCCATATGAATTGAGCGGTTTTTCCTAATTTTCTGAAGAGACACGATCGATTTATATGATGATCAGATTTAATTTGGGCATTTATTCGCAAGAAAAAATTCAACGCACACATCAGACATGGTAAAAACCGAAGCTCAAGCATGCTTGCTTGACGTGCGAGAACCAATGAGGTTCATTCTCGTGTTACGCAGCACGTTTGAGCTACCGCAAGAACCAATGAGGTTCGTTCTTGTGTTACGCAGCACGTTTGAGCTTCATCAAGAACCAATGAGGTTCATTCTCGTGTTACGCAGCATGTTTGAGCTTCCGCAAGAACCAATGAGGTTCATTCTCGTGTTACGCAGCACGTTTGAGCTTCCGCAAGAACCAATGAGGTTCATTCTTGTGTTACGCAGCACGTTTGAGCTTCCGCAAGAACCAATGAGGTTCATTCTCGTGTTACGCAGCACGTTTGAGCTTCCGCAAGAACCAATGAGGTTCATTCTCGTGTTACGCAGCACGTTTGAGCTTCAGCAAGAACCAATGAGGTTCATTCTCGTGTTACGCAGCATGTTTGAGCTTCAGCAAGAACCAATGAGGTTCATTCTCGTGTTACGCAGCATGTTTGAGCTTCAGCAAGAACCAATGAGGTTCATTCTCGTGTTACGCAGCACGTTTGAGCTTCCGCAAGAACCAATGAGGTTCATTCTCGTGTTACGCAGCACGTTTGAGCTTCCGCAAGAACCAATGAGGTTCATTCTCGTGTTACGCAGCACGTTTGAGCTTCAGCAAGAACCAATGAAGTTAATTCTCGTGTTACGCAGCCCGTTTGAGCTTCAGCAAGAACCAATGAGGTTCATTCTCGTGTTACGCAGCACGTTTGAGCTTCAGCAAGAACCAATGAGGTTCATTCTCGTGTTACGCAGCACGTTTGAGCTTCAGCAAGAACCAATGAGGTTCATTCTCGTGTTACGCAGCACGTTTGAGCTTCAGCAAGAACCAATGAGGTTCATTCTCGTGTTACGCAGCAGGTTTGAGCTTCAGCAAGAACCAATGAGGTTCATTCTCATGTTACGCAGCACGTTTGAGCTTCAGCAAGAACCAATGAAGTTAATTCTCGTGTTACGCAGCACGTTTGAGCTTCAGCAAGAACCAATGAGGTTCATTCTCGTGTTACGCAGCATGTTTGAGCTTCCGCAAGAACCAATGAGGTTCATTCTCGTGTTACGCAGCACGTTTGAGCTTCATCAAGAACCAATGAGGTTCATTCTCGTGTTACGCAGCACGTTTGAGCTTTAGCAAGAACCAATGAGGTTCATTCTCGTGTTACGCAGCACGTTTGAGCTTCATCAAGAACCAATGAGGTTCATTCTCGTGTTACGCAGCACGTTTGAGCTTTAGCAAGAACCAATGAGGTTCATTCTCGTGTTACGCAGCACGTTTGAGCTTCCGCAAGAACCAATGAGGTTCATTCTCGTGTTACGCAGCACGTTTGAGCTTCCGCAAGAACCAATGAGGTTCATTCTCGTGTTACGCAGCACGTTTGAGCTTCAGCAAGAACCAATGAGGTTCATTCTCGTGTTACGCAGCATGTTTGAGCTTCCGCAAGAACCAATGAGGTTCATTCTCGTGTTACGCAGCACGTTTGAGCTTCAGCAAGAACCAATAAGGTTCATTCTCGTGTTACGCAGCACGTTTGAGCTTCAGCAAAAACCAATGAGGTTCATTCTCGTGTTACGCAGCACGTTTGAGCTTCAGCAAGAACCAATGAGGTTCATTCTCGTGTTACGCAGCACGTTTGAGCTTCAGCAAGAACCAATGAGGTTCATTCTCGTGTTACGCAGCACGTTTGAGCTTCAGCAAGAACCAATGAAGTTAATTCTCGTGTTACGCAGCACGTTTGAGCTTCAGCAAGAACCAATGAGGTTCATTCTCGTGTTACGCAGCATGTTTGAGCTTCCGCAAGAACCAATGAGGTTCATTCTCGTGTTACGCAGCACGTTTGAGCTTCATCAAGAACCAATGAGGTTCATTCTCGTGTTACGCAGCACGTTTGAGCTTTAGCAAGAACCAATGAGGTTCATTCTCGTGTTACGCAGCACGTTTGAGCTTCAGCAAGAACCAATGAGGTTCATTCTCGTGTTACGCAGCACGTTTGAGCTTCAGCAAGAACCAATGAGGTTCATTCTCGTGTTACGCAGCACGTTTGAGCTTCAGCAAGAACCAATGAGGTTCATTCTCGTGTTACGCAGCACGTTTGAGCTTCCGCAAGAACCAATGAGGTTCATTCTCGTGTTACGCAGCACGTTTGAGCTTCAGCAAGAACCAATGAAGTTAATTCTCGTGTTACGCAGCACGTTTGAGCTTCAGCAAGAACCAATGAGGTTCATTCTCGTGTTACGCAGCATATTTGAGCTTCCGCAAGAACCAATGAGGTTCATTCTCATGTTACGCAGCACGTTTGAGCTTCCGCAAGAACCAATGAGGTTCATTCTCGTGTTACGCAGCACGTTTGAGCTTCAGCAAGAACCAATGAAGTTAATTCTCGTGTTACGCAGCACGTTTGAGCTTCAGCAAGAACCAATGAAGTTAATTCTCGTGTTACGCAGCACGTTTGAGCTTCAGCAAGAACCAATGAGGTTCATTCTCGTGTTACGCAGCACGTTTGAGCTTCATCAAGAACCAATGAGGTTCATTCTCGTGTTACGCAGCACGTTTGAGCTTTAGCAAGAACCAATGAGGTTCATTCTCGTGTTACGCAGCACGTTTGAGCTTCCGCAAGAACCAATGAGGTTCATTCTCTTGTTACGCAGCACGTTTGAGCTTCAGCAAGAACCAATGAAGTTAATTCTCGTGTTACGCAGCACGTTTGAGCTTCAGCAAGAACCAATGAGGTTCATTCTTGTGTTACGCAGCACGTTTGAGCTTCAGCAAGAACCAATGAGGTTCATTCTTGTGTTACGCAGCACGTTTGAGCTTCCGCAAGAACCAATGAGGTTCATTCTCGTGTTACGCAGCATGTTTGAGCTTCCGCAAGAACCAATGAGGTTCATTCTCGTGTTACGCAGCACGTTTGAGCTTCCGCAAGAACCAATGAGGTTCATTCTCGTGTTACGCAGCACGTTTGTGCTTCAGCAAGAACCAATGAAGTTAATTCTCGTGTTACGCAGCACGTTTGAGCTTCAGCAAGAACCAATGAAGTTAATTCTCGTGTTACGCAGCACGTTTGAGCTTCCGCAAGAACCAATGAGGTTCATTCTCGTGTTACGCAGCACGTTTGAGCTTCAGCAAGAACCAATGAGGTTCATTCTCGTGTTACGCAGCACGTTTGAGCTTCATCAAGAACCAATGAGGTTCATTCTCGTGTTACGCAGCACGTTTGAGCTTCAGCAAGAACCAATGAGGTTCATTCTCGTGTTACGCAGCACGTTTGAGCTTCAGCAAGAACCAATGAGGTTCATTCTCGTGTTACGCAGCACGTTTGAGCTTCATCAAGAACCAATGAGGTTCATTCTCGTGTTACGCAGCACGTTTGAGCTTCAGCAAGAACCAATGAGGTTCATTCTCGTGTTACGCAGCACGTTTGAGCTTCATCAAGAACCAATGAGGTTCATTCTCGTGTTACGCAGCACGTTTGAGCTTCAGCAAGAACCAATGAGGTTTGTTCTCATGTGTTACGTAAACACATTGACCACACGTATTTGAGAATCAGAATATCAGGTAGTTAATGACATAGCCAAAAAGTTTGTGAATATTTTGAATAAAAAAGGAAAAAGGAAATAAAAGCGATACATCAGCCATACAGCGCTATTGTGGCTGTATTGTGTCATGTAACAAGCATGACGCATCATCACCATGGAAATAATAAGGCGATACATTCTAAAATAACGCCCACCTTAAAAAACTCAGCTGGAGGGTCACCTAGAATATTTTAAACTTACGTGTGAAAGGGTTAAAGAAATGAATACTTTGATTCAGCAAGGACACATTAAATTTGAACAAAAGTGAAAGTAAAGACATAATGTTACAAAATATTTATACGCTGTTATAATCCTGGATTTTGTTTTATTATGGGTTCCACAAAAATATTAAGCAGCAGAAATGTTTTCAACATAATCATTAGCCTATTCTTTTTTTCTTTTCTTTTTTTGAGTACCAAATCAGCATTTTAGAATGATATCTGATCTGAAGAATCTGATCTGGCTGTTGAAAGCTTTGCCATCACAGGAGTACATTACATTTAATATTCAATATCAATATTACTGTTTTACTGTATTTTTTTATCAAATAAATGCATTTTTTTGTGAGCATAAGAGATGTCTTGTATACAGTAGTCTATGTTACACATAATATAAATGTTTAAGTTCAGAAATCTCCAGAACATGTCTTTGCTCCTTTATTTTTTTTAAGTATTATAAATGTCAGTTTTGAATATTAATATAAAAATTATTACAATGAAAGTTTATTACAAAAATAGTTAAAACCCTTGTGAATTGTATGTCTTCTGTAGTACGTCCTCTATGATGGGTGGCCGGGCTGACCACAGAGCACAGGTTTGGAGATGGACACTATGTATTTTCTGCTCAGCGAACCATCAAGGTGGAGGTGGCTAACACATTTGAGCGCACACACACTCCATGAATAAGTGCTTCCATGTGACGCCAGGCATTATCAAACAAGTAATCATTTCAGAGGGGTGGAAGGTGTGTGTGGGAAGAGAGTAACTGAGGGAGAGAAATGTGTTATAATTACAACCAGTGAAGCATAGTCTTCATATAAAATGCATTAGTTTGACTTGACACATTAATTATCTGTTTTTGCAGATGTTTTGCAGCATTGTTGTGCAAACAATTTTAGGGGGAGGAATTATGGGAAAGTGAGCTGAAAATAAAATAAGAGGGAGGTTTCTTGCAGATTTACCTTCATTCATGCAGAGAGAGCGAATCGATGCAGCTGGAGAAAATGGAGCCGAAGCGAAAGGATCATCCCAACAAGGTTATCATTACACCCTGCTCCTCGCCCTAACCCCTTCCATTTTTCTACTCACATGGATTTCAATGCACTCTGTTTTTTGGCGGTTTGTTGTAGTGGCGAGTAAGGGGGAGGGTTGCAAGGCTTCCCATTCAAGCATCACAAAGTACCATAATCAGGAAGATAAAGAAATTACACATTATAGATTTCAAAAGGAGATAATGGACTATTTGTTTGTTTTTATGCTTATTTGTGCAAATCGTAGGTGCTCAGTGAAGCCTCGCAGTTGAAGGATTGCTGCTTTTCTTTTAAAAGATCTTAATTGCAATGCGGGCGGTCCGCGTTTTGTTTTTCCCATGGCGAAGTGGATGGCGGACACAGCTTTGTTTTAACACCGATCTTAACAAAGGGAAACAGATTGTGCCTTTTAGCCTTCTAGACGTCCTTGTGGAGGATGGGAGCATGCATTTTGTGTGAATGTGAATGTTGTTGGAAAACAACAGCATGAAAGAGGATAGAAAAAAAAAACATGTCATCAAATTCACCATTATAAGAAAGAGAACAGGTGCCTTTCTTACATAAATGCAGCTTTAAAATGTAATGAATTGTTGTCATTGTATCAGATAAAAGATCACACAGTCCACTTTTCAAGTAAAATTAATATTTAATTTAAAGTGTGTTAGGTTTTAAACTAGTTTTTTTTTTCTTTTTAACCCGATAACAAACACTTAATATACAACTACATCAATATTGCCAATATTTATACCAATACCTCTATTAAACATAAATGTTTAATGACATATTTTTGATTTGATTTTCATTTTTTGTTTCCCTTTCATTATTAATAATGATAGAACATGATTAGTTATTTAAAGTCACCATGAAATCAAAATGGGTAATTCTTCTTCTTTTTTTAAACGGAATATTGCAGTATTTACTTTAAAGCTACAATATGTCATTTTTTCGCCGCTAGGGGTCGCTAACCTCTTACAATAACAAAGGCGTAGATTGATGACGCATAAGCAGAATCATGGAACTTGTTGTCATGCTGAATACATTGATGTTTTTAACATGACTGTGGTATGAAGCAGGGCGCGATTGCTAATGAGAGACATATATCAGCGGATATAAAGGATTAAGGACATTTCATTCTACCGAACTACCCGCAAGTGCTGAATAACTACTCACACAGGTCAGTTTATTAGATGAATGAAACTTGTCAGGTAACGCAGCGCTGTTTCACTTGGTCTACTACACTATCACACTAAACTGCATTTTAGTGTGTTGAAAGATATAATGTTATTCTATGTGTTAGTTTGTTGGCTGTATGAAACTAGCAAGCTAGATCAACATTAGAATACTGATCATATTCTAACATTTCATCATGTTGAACTATATAACAATGATTAGTTTTATGTACATTTGCTCACCTGTCTAATAGGCTAAAGTTAATGCAAGAGCAGCGTCTCTGTCAAGTCGAAGTTAGTCGCGGACGTGGAGCTCAAAACAATATTGATATTGATCCTCGTTTTATTTCTCCTTTTGTCCCAAAGTCTGCTTGCCATGGTCCATAATGTTTGAACGAAACAACAACAGTGTGAGCGTGCCTCTAGACGTAACGCAGTTGTCCACGTCTGTCGCTATGGTTACTATGGCAGTACGAGCGGAAACCAGGGATAACGCTGATATTACGTCATTGACAGGCGACAATGACCAGGGACGAGACATTATTTTTATTATAATATTTTATTACAAAAATCTTACATATTGTACCTTTAAATTATTTATCCGTGCACATCATTATTATTATTTTTTAATTGATGTGCCATCGTAATTTTTAATAAAAAAAATGTCCTCTCCCTCTTGCAATGACATCTTTTCTCTGATGACTAGCGTGAGGGCGGGGCTACCTGTCAATCATATGAGATCACAAACCACAACCATCCAATCAATTCCTGGTGGATAAAATCAAGTCCCACGCTACTGCTTTGCTCAGTACACAGTACAGTCACAATAGGGAAGAAAATACTTTCGCAAATTTCCATTTCATGCTGACAGGAAAGCTGGCAGAAGTCCCCATGAATTCAAAATTGACCATACTTACTTTGTTTGCCTAAATTGATCGTTTTGTAGTGAACAATTCATCCATGCAAGTCAATCCATACAACATTTTTTTTGGCTTCGTAATCTTTAATCAAAATCTGAAATTTCCCCTCCCCTCTGCATTGCAGGACCTTCCCTGATGACGTAGGTTTGACGGTTTGGGCGTCTTCTTAACATCCGTAACCACGCCCCTCCAACTGACAGTAGACAGGCTGAATGAAAACACCTACTTTTCTAGATCCAATCAGGTGCTAGTTGGGAAAAAAAGCCACGCCCACTATTTTGCCTCATTTAGTATTCCGTTTCTCTCGGAAATACGTCACAACACTGGAGAAAAGTCGTTTGCAACTTCCGGTTCACGGGGACTTTAACAACCACATGCAACACCACGAAGCTCATTAGCAAACGAGAAATGTCCCATTTAGCTTTGTCATTGTTTTGTGAAATGAAATAACTCTGTTTGAATGAATGGCTGCCGTCTGTGAATTTTTACACCCCAAAGACTCCTACACATTATCTTGCTGAATAATTATGTTATGTGTTGAAATCATTAGTATATAAAAAATCTCCATGGTTTGATATTTTCACGTGAAGGCGGACCCTCTTACTGCATCAAACCATTTCCCACACATTTTGCTTATGTTCAAGTTGGTCACATGGTTTCAACATGATGACCAACTGTGAGATGCCTGTTTGTGTGAGTAATGCTTCATACATCACTACACTATTGACAATGGATCTTTTTGTGCTAATTTTTGCTAATGTGAATGCTACACACACACACACACACACACACACACACACACACACACACACACACACACACACACACACACACACACACACACACACACACACACACACACACACACACACACACACACACACACACACCCTCATCTGATGGTCGTCTGTCTGTTATAGAATGCTAATATTGCTACTCTTTCATGCCGGTTCTGAATGACAGCCATGTTGGCGGAGGTACCAGGCAGCCAGAGGAATGAGGAGGAATGATACCGTTGGCACTGCTTGGATTGTACATTTCAGGGTTATGGATATGTAGTCCTTTCAGCTAAATTTACAATTTGGGAGTAGTGGGTACTGTACATTATCTGAAAGACAATGGGGTCTTCCTGTCACATTTTATTTGCAGAAACACATTTATTTTTGGTGATGCACCGAAAGTTTTCATTTAGCCCAAAAAACGAAACTGAAAATAAAGTTTCAGCAATGAATTGTGGGGGTATCTAAACGCAGACTGCTGTTCAGGGTGGTGTGTACTACAGGTGAGAAATTAAACCATTTGTGATAAAGTTCTTCGGCAATGAGCCGCCAATATATTTCAGACGAACAAATTATACATCCAGTTATTGCTACTAGTGGCGGCTGGTGGGTTCTAAAATAGAGGCGGCACACTAAAATGCATAATTGGAGAAGCGTTAATTAAACGGTTTGGCAGAATGTTTTTGGTTGTCAAAATTTTGGTGCATCACTGTATATTTTTCTATCATAGTGCTGATATATCATTAAATTATATTGTTTTTTGTAATGAGCTAATTATATTTTCTGTGTCCTAAACATATCCCCAAACCTAACCCTTTTTGCAGTTTTAGATTTTAATCAAGACATTACTTAAAATGCTTATGAGGCTGTTTTCCTTGTAGGCCAAACCTGACCCACACAAACACGCACCGACGACAATTGATATGTCCCAATTAATGAGGAAGATTCAATTTCAGCGTGTAAAACTATGCTCTGCTCTCATTGGCTGGAAGTTTGGGCATGGTATCAGAAGCACAGCTTTATCTCTGCATCACAAGAGAGATACTGAAAAAGAGGCCTGATCGTAATATCTGTTTTCCCTCTCCCCGCCTGCTGTGTTTCACTAAGCTTTATCAAACAGCCGTGTGTTTGTTTGCAAATGCAGGATTTCACGGGTCATCCTTTATCAGCTCTCTCTCCCGTCACCTCCAGACTTCGCAGCATATTGTGCCATGTTTTCTCCGTTGGCTCCAAAAAAGCCGCTCATCCTGGCCAGTGGAGGCTGGCTAGTGTGTCTGTGTGTGTGTGTGTGTGTGTGTGGCGGCGCGAAGGGAGCCATCTCCTCTCGCAAACACATGGCCCGCTCACTTGCCCGCCCTCCACCCTCCTTCGCTAAATCATGAGCTGCTTTTGAGGAGCAATGCTGAGAGCATTCGAGCGATCTGCAAATTTGGAGCAACGCTTTATTGACACATTCAGAACGGCTAACAATGTTATCACGACGGCAGCAGACAACGTTGAAGATTTTCTCTCAGGCGCTCTCAGAGAGACTCTCCGACACCCCTGAAGGTGTTAGCAATCGGCTAATCAGTGTATTTCTGTGGTGATCCTCCTGCACCCTCCAAAGGATTGTGGGGAGGTGCAGCGACCGGCCAAGCAGATCGTCCGGGCCTTCCGGTTTAAATAGGACACAAGGCTACAGAAACAAAAGAAGCCATATTAATGGGATAGCGCTGTCAGATAAAACATTCTCCGCTACGAGCTTCCAAGTCAGGTAAAAAAAGGTACATTGCTAATCCATAATGCCAGATCTGTGCTTTGTTCACTTGCCTAAATGCAAAAAAGGAAGTAAGCAGGGCGGCCCAGAAGGCTGGAGTAGAACAGTGCAGAGGATCATAATCAGGCGCCCCTGATCCTTTAGTCGCTTTCCAATCGCTCGGACAGACTCCTTTAGCCGCTGCTTGGGGACAACTTTCAGATAAACTAGGCCATCACAAAAGACTGAGAGGATTGCCTTTTCAGAACAGAGCAGTCGCCTGTTTTCTCCGGAAGATGTAATCCATGTTTAGAACCACTTATTGACTGATTTTCTTTGTTTATTTTCTTTCATTTTTATGTGACAGATGGTTTTCGTTTTGTTCTTCTGTAAACAAAATACAAGTCTGCAATACATTTTTTTTTAAATTAATAAACAATTATGAAATAAATATATTATATACTTATACTTAAATAATTATATAATAAATTCAATTGGATTCAACTGTAAAATTAAAATAATATATAAAAATAAATACAAGTATATAAAATCACACTACATTATGTATTTAAATATATATATATATATATATATATATATATTACAATGAATGGTGCCTCTTGACACCTATGTAATAACGTGGAATTGTCATGATATAAGATGTGACTGGACAGCCAAAAACGCCCATCTGCATATGTAAACCACCAAAGAAAAAAAAAATGCAGATGGAATATAAAAACTCATGCTGTGCAGAATGGACAGACGGCCAGTGACATTTTGTAATGTGTATTTGTGCTTTCTTCTGTCACACATACATGTTGTTGAATTATTGTATATTTTGTTACTTTTCTCAGTAAATACTGATAGTTGCGATTAATTCTGATTACTTTGACAGCCCTGTCAATTCAATTGACAGTCAATCAATTGACAGCCCTGATATTAAGTTAATTTTAATTTGCACTATACTTATTAAACTAATGTATCTTGTAAATCATAATTATTCAAAA